CCGCCGCCACCTCCTAGATTAGGTGTGCCGTAACTGGTTGACGGTGGTAGATAGTTGCCCGAGATAGGCGCTGGAAAATAATTTCAAGATATTAAGTATTATTCTTTAAAACACATTTATTTTATTCTTTAAGGAACATTTTAGAGACAAGAGAGATGTAAATTATATAGCTTGGTTGTCTCGCAGAAAATTTTATTGCATTTTGATTAATCTTATATTTGGGAAAATAGTATTTAATCTGTAATCTTAAAAATTGCTATAATTAATTTGGCTGCTCTCTCAGTAACTTATGCTTTCTTACATTGCTGGTGACTTTTTATTACATCTCAATCTTACGATGAAATTACCACTAACGAAGAACGTTTATTGTTTGCGGTAACGTTATTAGACGAGATGATAAGTCGGCAATAGCATTTACGCGGCTTCCTAGCTATCAAGATTGGAAGTTAACATAATACAAAGTAGAAATTCTAAAACTTCGTTTTCTCTTCCCATAGGAATTTATTCTATCTTCGTAATAGTACATTATCAACGGAAATTTAAATTTCGCTTAACAATGTTTTAACAATCAAATATTGTTAAAAACTTAATTCCGTTTAATAACTCGTGAAATTTAAAACTGAACTGAGTACAAAAATCAAGACAATTTACAGAAATTTAATCGAGTATATAAATAAAATTTCATTTATTTAATTAGATTTATTCTCATCGATCTAAATTCATATTACAATAATTTGCAGGAAATCAAAAAGACTAAAATTTCCTTCATTTTAAGAAAACGATATCTGCGTTATAGAAAAGAAAAATTCGCAACCAAGTCAGGGAATTATGTTCGCGATAGTATTCTAAACCGACTTAGCCACGGAAGTCGTAATCAGACCGTGACGATTTCTTATCGCGGGATTTTATCTGCTCCGCGCTATCATCATCAGCGGAGTCGTCGTAAGACAGTCATTACAAGACGCTTTGTGTCGTAGAGTCGAAACACCAACGCGGATTTTCACAATAATAGCGTGGCGTTTTTTTCTTTTCGTTTGTTAAGCACGCGTTAACGCGCCGATTGAGTCACGCTCGCTTTCATCGCGGCTGATGCGCCGGAACGCGAACAGCGCGTCCGATTGATTTATCGCGCGAGCGTGATGCTCCGCCGCGACAGTTGAAGAAGCGATTCATCGCTGGTATCATTTACGACCGGTTCGGCGGGTCGAGAGTCATCTGCTGAAACCTGGCGAGTACGTCAATTAATCCCGGATCAGCGATTCGCTATTCTCCTACCTATTAATCCTTTGTAGTCTCTTGAAAGTTCCGTACACCTTCAAAAAGATCAATATGGATCTAACATACCTTTAATACCACCACCATACGGTGAACAGTTTTCGCCGTCTTGGTGTGTGGATTTATAACCCTTTGTATTTATATTAACACCATCATAATGTGGATTTAAAACCCATGTTATGTTGGTGTTGATATTAACATAGTGAGAATTATATAGACATTGCATAATGTTAAATTCACACCGATAGTTTTTAGAGTGTAACCCGGTTGAAATGGCCTTAACGCATTTTTGCCGTGTATTCACAGTTTTTGTTCTTTGAAGTAAAAAATTGTCGAATATACTTTAGACATTTTAGAATATAGAAATACAGCTCTACAAAGATTTTAATTTTAACATATAATAAATAATTGTGGAAATGAATGTTTTTGAAAAATGAAGCTTTTTACTAAAAAGATTATAACTTTTTTAAATTTTTTAATCTTTTTCATAAAAATTTATGGTTATCTACAGAGATATGAGACTTTCAGAAAAGAAAGTGCAATAATTGACGTTCCAAAAAAAAATATTAATTTTTTCTGGGAAATAAAAGAAGCCATTTTTATTTAAAAAAAAAGTGAAATATTATCGCATGAAGGATTGATTATTACACTAATCAGAGATGTATTAATTAAAGATATAGAACATCAAAATTTTTTTGGAATCAATTTGACTCCATGTGATCATGAAGGGTTAAACAAATGGACATTTAATTCCTTCAATTTAATTTCTCGAGATTCAAAAAAGGAACTTATCGAAGGTTTCGCTTCGATTTAAGAGAGACAAATAATTCATACGGCTAAAAACTTGAACAGCGCTGAAGAGATAACAAATGGAAAATAACTAAATTCAGTTTGCAACATATAAAAATTGAATGGAGTAAAATAAAGCGAGTCGAAACGACAGGCGCGCGGTAAAAAATCAAATAAAATAACGTTTTAAAATAGAACAAAGGTGGACGTATAAAAAGCGCGAGAAAATAATATAACGCGAAATAAAAACTAAAATCCGCTTTATCAATTGTTTTATTTTGAGAAACTAATTTGTTAACATTTTCCCATTAGACAACCGTTGGCAAAACACCGCAATAATCACCGACGCACGCGCGGCATTTAAACAATGACTCGCGTGTGGGCGCGTGACGTTTACACGTGTTAAAATCGAAATCGAAACAATCGCGGTAAAGTTTCGGCTTGCACGCTCGCGCGAGTTAGATTACGCTAGATCGCACCTGATAATGTTCTGATTTATACAACGATCCCAACACGCCATGCGCAATTTGCCGAGAGATGCTCCGTCCGATAGTCCGCGTCTCCCTGATACTTGACTATTTCAAGCCCGGTGCACACGGCTTCTACTTTTTCATGCGTCCCAATTTCACAAAATCGCCTGCATTACTTGAGGGAAAGAAAAACGCTCGAGTGATCGAGTAAACTTGAAAAAAAAAAATGCCCGATGAATAAATTAAGATAATCCATAATGTAAAAACATCTCGTTGCTTGAATGACGAAAATGCTAGTTATTAAAGATTTTCCCATAATTAACCGATGGCGTGTGATGAAACTGCGTAAAGTAGTACGCCTACAGGCACGCTTGAACCTAATCGGAAACATAAATTAATTCGAGAGATAAAAAATGAAACGTTTTAATCAGAACTTAAAGCAGGTATATAATAAGAGACTTCTAACATGTTTACGCTTGAAAACACAGAGAATTTGATTATCAAGATTTAACGCTCAATCAACTACGTTTTAATTTTATCTCTTGATTAAGCACTTCATTGTGTCGATTTAGGGTGGCAGGGAATATATCGAGAACAAATTAATTTTTCATCGGCATTTTTTCTTACTTATATTTAAAATTTAAATTCAAAGAGCTGGTTATAATCTTAATGAAAAATCTGATTAAAAAAAAAATGTGTTTAATAGCTGAAAGTGAAAACTGCCGAATCGTCGCGCAAACTCTATTTTTTACTCACATATTACAACGCGTCGCGGGACAACAGTGGACTTTCTAATAAGTTTTCCGACAAGCTGACAAATTACAGATCCGTCGTGGCGGCATTCATTAAGGTAAAAATGTTACGTCGCGCGCTCGCTACGTAATGCGTACTTTAACCGTGAAATTACTATTGACATACAGTGCGTTTCTTATAACGCATCCCCTTCTAAATTCTACTGAAGACTTTACTTGGAAGCTTGTGCGCCAGCGACGAGAGATTTTACCTTAATACCTCCTTTTTTTTACTACAATGAATTTAATAAGCTATTATGAAATGCGTGAGAAAGAGAAGCTAAAAGGCTAACGTGAAGCGAGCAACTTTAATATTATAAAAACATTCTTTCCCTCAAAGTCATTAATTTATCTCGCTTTCCGACGCAGAATTCCGACACGCGATTTTCTTAAGACTACTTTTACTCTCGCGAAAAATTAATATGGTCGTCTCATGTTTCTCTTTCTCCTTTTACTGTTTCACTCCATTGAACGTGTAAGAATAATTAGATCTCTCTTCATCTTAATACAAGAACTGTCCCATTCCATAAAAGATTAACAGACACCGAAAGACTTTTCTTCGTGCAAGATTAATTCCATGTTCAGTTGCATTCCTCTACTCTGCATATCACAATAATATATATCGTTTTTTTTCATCACCGGTAAAAACTCGCATAAGAGAAGTCAAGTTTAAGTTCCAAATTTAAAAACCCAAAGAGCAACCCATACAACACACTTTATCCGAGAGACATCCTGAGAACGTTCTTAAAACATTCAGAGTATGTATACTGAAAAAAAGGCGTATCAACAGCATTATTTTGAAAATAATTTCATTGATTTAACAATAGTATTAATGAAATAAATAAAATGTTATTAAAACAAGAGCATGACGTATTTGTTTCATTAGTGTTGTTAAATTGTAATAAAATGATTTTCAATTAAAATAATGCTGTTGATATGACATAATTTTGTTCAGTGTGGAGACATCCTCTGGATATCTTTAGGACGTTTCTCGGAAATCTGTGCTGTACGGGAATCTCGAGAATCAAGAGGCCTGTTCTTTTTGGCTGAACTTTTGCACCAGTTCATCTTTCTTCCTCTTCTTTCCCGCTGGAGAGAAAAGGAAGAAAGATGAACTAGCGCAAAAGTTCAGCCAAGAAGAACAGGCCTAAGGGAATTAGAAGGAATGAACGCCGGATAAGGATGAGGACCCTTCTCAGATCTTACCATCGGCGTGGATGGGCCTCAGCAGTAGAGCCGTCGCGACCAGCGCGGTCACTGCCAACGGGGCCCAGCTTCTCGCGGGCCTCATGGTCCCCGGCGATCAAAGTCTCGTGGAGGTCTCTGTGGCGTTCGTCTCGGCGCCGAGTCACATGCACGAATTTCCGTTTCGTACGAACGAAAGTGCTGTCTCTCCCTCTTTCTCTCCCAAGCTACCGTCGCGTATATGCGGGGTGAACTTACGAATGGAAAAATATAGATGCAATCGGGGCGCGGCGGCTCGACGTGGCCTGCTCGACGCACCCGTGCGATTTCGTCTAACGTGCTTCAAACAGCGTGCATCTCGCTTATATAGTTGGCCGTCTTTCGGAGAAAGTCCTCGTCGGGAGTGCAGGAGGATGCTACCGACTTCAGGTGAGACTCCACGGAGAACGTGGGAGGCAAATGCCGACGAGGGGGGGACGTAAGGAGACGAGACCATCTTGGGGGGAACCCATGCTTCGTCAGGAATTCTATACGGTGGGGACTGAAGGATCTGGCGGTTTTCTGAAGGATCAGGCAACGGGATGTCCCGCTCGCGATTGACCCTGGTCAGGTTGTTAACGAAGGGGCCCTTTTTTCGACTCGGACGTTCTCTCGCTCTCTCTCCTTCGCAAGTGAACTCGGCGTTCTCTCACTGTGCGAGAAATCTCCCGCCGCCTGGCCTTGGTGTCATCTGGCTCCGCTCGTCGAGAGCGATCAGCGAGAGTAACGTAGCATTGCGCACGAGCTCTCGAGCACGTGAACTCTCGTGCAAGCGATCCGACTGGAGCGATTCGGATGGATAACACATAAAATATTCTGTGCTGCGCGTTCAGTCGGTTCGTTTGAAACGGGAATATCGAATAAGCTCCGAATTTAACGAGACGTAGAAATATGCGATAACGGTGTATTTTTCAAAGAGATTTCACGCGAGTAATATTGTATCTTGGAAGGTCGAAGGTTTTTTGATATTTCGCGTGAAACTCTTTCATCAAATCATATTTCGCACATAGAAAAATTATATATTAAATAAGCTAATAGAATGTTGGCGTTTATAACAAGTACACAACAAAAACAAGTACATGATGAATACGGGATGAGCTGTTTGTTTCGCAAGCGATCTAAGTGAAGTTTCGAAAATCATCACGTCACTTCTCTAAGTCCTTTCTCCGAAAAGTAAGTCCAATGAGGACCATCAGTAAGCAGGGAACGTGCGATCGAAAATTGCTCGTTTGTTATTCGTCACACGCTCAGCTTCACCCAAGAAGCCCACTTGTCGACTAGAAACTAGATAACTAAATCGACGAAGGATACAAATGAATCATACCGTCGTTAATATCTGTCGTTCTAAATTGGTATCAACGAGAGAATCGATTTTGTTTTAAAATTAAATACAATATTTAGAACAATGAGTTCAATTCAATTTAGGACAATTAATAATGTAAATTAACGGAAGTCTTATTAATGGAAGTCCTATATTAGCCGAGGCTGTTTCTACCAATGTAGTTGACTTTAATCTTGGTTTAATTTATTTTTTTTATCTTTTTTTAGTTCTTAATTATAATTAGAAAAATAAATAAAGAATAAATCGAACCGAGATTAAAGTTAATTTACATTGATAGAAATGGACATAAAGAGAGACTTTTTGGTGTGATTGAACAATTGAGAATTTTTCTATGGAAAAATGAACTTGAGATAGCACAAAAAATTGTATTGTACGAAACGAATTCTGAGATGTGTATGAATGTCGATCTGGAATATCCGGGCGATATTCGAGAAGCAATTCGTTCGGAATACGTTTCGCTGCAATCCGTAGATACACTGGGAGTGTGACCATGATTTCTAGGCCGAGGACACAATCTGCCCATATACGAAGGCGTGAAAATGACGGTATCGTCGATGATGTACGTGTAGATCGTTTCGCGGCGACGTGCGATTTCAAGCAGTCCTAAAAAGACGAGGAAGGTGAAGCTGAAAGTATAAAATACCTAGCGAACGCGTCTGTCAGTACGCCAACGCTTTTTGATGCATTTCGAGCTGTAACTTAAAAAATGCATATAAATGTTACGCCAGTTTATAACACTGGGAGAAAAATCTTTGCGTGCGCAACGTTATTCAAGCATCCCATATTTAGCACATAAGGAAGACCATTAACTATAAAGGAATGATCGATTGAACGCGAAGAAGAAACGAAAGTTCACCGAAGAAAGTATGAGAGGGAAACATGGAGCTGAAGGAATCCGGTGTTTTTTTTTTTTTACGTCTGAAACGTCTATCTTGTGTCCATTATACGAGAGATACGCTTTTCGTAGCTGGCTGCATCTCGTGCATTATATTCTTGTTCGCACGAGATTATCTTACGCTGGGGTCCCTGCTTCTTTTCCGCGCTGCGATCTTAACTGCTCGCATAAGCGCAGCAGGTGCCGCTCGTTGCCCTAAACGCGAGGTGACGCAACGTATAATACAATCAATAATTTTTAATAGCTGGAGTTTGTAATTTGGTTCCGTTTCGTTGCCCGTTCCTATAGCTGGAAGTACAGCGTTGCGACACGCGGCCAAAGTATAATAACTTAATAGCACACGCGGAACAAAGTGATGAAAAGAGAATCCTATCGGAACGTATAGTGCTCGCTCATTGACGAAAAAAGATTCGCGCGATCGCTGTCGGAAAGATTGATGACTAATAAGATGATTAATAAGCGATATAATAAATCATGATTGTAAAACATTTTTTTTTATTTAGTTAATACTTTCTAATAATTATTGTTAGGAGCCAAATATCATATATCAAATATATTAAGCGTAATATATCAAATACGGGGACATACAGAATAACATGAACTCCTCGTCAATACGATATTTATATTACTACTTGTTTTATTAATAAGAGGTTGGCCCATTTTTGTTTTTAATACATCTATCTTTGTTAAAATAATCACACCATGTATAAGTTGTTATTAATGGAATAAAGATCCAGCTTCGACCGGTATTTAAGTACTAGTTTGTGTTACATGTACGATCTAAAATAAGATTCTTATTATTACTAATGGAATGTTGTATTATTTTTTTCAAATGAACACCTTTCAATTGCTTATAACATTACAAAAGAAAATTTTCTTCTCTAATATGAGTATCTAATAATATCGATGGTAACAATTCAAACACTATACGATTATTTCAACAAGGACAGAATGTGTATTAAAAACAAATGAAAGGTCAACCTTTTATTAATAAAACATTCCTCTTACTCTATTTTCCAAAATTATCCTCTGTTCTTCTTCAAAATTTTAATATTTTTTTGATCAATGCAATCACCTGATTCAAGTATTATTTGTGGCTTTAAAGAGCAGAGTGGGATACAGATCTCTTGCTTCAATATCTTTCAAACAATTACAAATTTTTTTGCTAGAAGAATAACAGGAAAATAATAGCAATTACTTTCCTATTATTCTATAATAGAAAAGTAATAACTACTATTTATATATAATAATCTTGCATAGGGGAAATAATAAGAAATATTATTTCCTGTTATTCTGTATAACAGATAATAATATAGAACAACAGGAAGTAATAAAAATTAGTGTAATACTGCAGTAATTCCTGCATTATTCAAACGTAATTCTATTCCAACAAGAATAAAATCTATATTAAAGATAAATAAATAATAGGTCAACTTTTTATTAATAAAACAAGTACGCAATATATTATATATTTCTTAAACATTTATATTATTTTATTAATCCCCTGTAATACTCACTAATCAAAGATTCTCGTTTCCATTAACTACATATATATTTACAAAGACATCAATTAGATGACTTGAAGGATTAGATCAATGTATCGCCGAGAGTTTCGTAAATTCTCCACAGCCTCATTTGCAAATCGCGCTTATAATTCCGGCTGGCAATCGGTTCTCGTAAGATCTGTTATTTGTAAACAGACAATTGCTATCAACGACCGGCGTTTCACCGGTGGATCATCAGTAGTCCAATTAGCGCGCGCGTATGACAAATCGCACGAAGAGGAATCTCCGCCGTTTATTCATCGTGCGTGTGCGAACTTCACGAAACGGTCCCGACACCTACGACGTTGCTCTCACTGATTGCTGAAAGAGAACGCTGAAAGAGACGCCGCTTGCTAAATCGACGATTTATTATCGCCCGTGTAGCAATAACACGAGCGAGGCTCGAGATGCGCGCAGCTATGTGGCTATGACAAACGTTGCGGTAATACAGATCGGATCAGATCGCTCCGGCCGAGTGTCTCGTTTTGCCGGATTGATCGATCATTGCAACACGGTTGCCGCAAAAATGCGCGATCCATGATTATTGAATCGATAGATCGTTGATTGCCAATAAATGAAAGCATTTTATTGGATGAAAGCATTCTATCGACACGCATGATTCACGTAAAGTGTATATTTCAATGAGATACTGAACACAAATCATCACACTGGAAAGAGCCTAATCGCATTAATTGGAATTGTAGTTGAAAATGGGTATTAACATTTTCTGGTTAAGTTTATTATAATTCTAATTGAGGAAAGAATTCTGATTGATATGATCAGAATTTTTTAATTTACATATTTTCAACTAGAAATTTTTCTCAGTGTATAACATTAAAATGATATCAAAAAATGGCTCCAAAATAATGATTAAAAGTCACTTTTCAATCATTTACGGTTTATTTTAATGTCGTACTAGAAAGAAAAATTTAGTACTTTCAGCGAAATTGTTTAGGCAAATAAATGAAGCATTTTTTAAGAATAATAAAATATTTTGTTTATACGTATAACAAAGAATTTAATTGCCTCTACAAAATACATTTTTTTCCTTCAGGAAAAAATAACAAAAATATTTATTTGTACTGTTTAAAATTTAAACAATTTATTTCGTATAAAATAGTTTTATTCTCACATTTGTCAAATCCTTCTAAGTACATTTCAACTAATTTTTTGTTGTTACAGCGAAATTTTGGTTCATGGAATAAAATATTTTTTCTAATGCATCTTGGTGTTATCGTGAATTCCTAGCAAACACCAACTAACAGTAACATAACAGTTATAATTTTTCACTCAACAGTATAACTGTTACATGTTATATAACTGTTATATGTTACATTGCGTTATTGCGTCGTAAATCATAACTTATGACGTTTATGATATTGTTAGTTACTATTTGCTGGGTCATTTTGCTTGGGTTCGAAGATTTATCACGCAAACAATTAATAAAGGGCTATACTATCTAGCTGAAAATAGCCTCTAATAAAAAGCTACATTTAATGTTGCCAATTTAGTA